ACACCAAATGATGTCATTTGAAAGCAAGAATTGTGTTGTTTCTTATTCTGTTTAAAAATTTCATTGCTGTCATATAGAAGTAAGGATTTGAGTGGCTCCTCGGGGTCACCAAGCGTTGGTACTGATACTTTGCCTCCAGAACAACACATACCTGGGGTCTCTTTCTTCCACTTAAGTGCCTCACAGTGTCTGCATTTATTGGCCATTCTACCTATGAGGACTAATCGATGATTAAAGTAATCAAGTAACGGATCATAATCAAAAGCAGCATCGGCACGTGCCTCCCACGTATTCATCGTACAATAAAATAATTTTACTGGATCGAAAAATTTAATACTCTAAAGCGCAAATTTCTTATCGCATGCGTCCGACGACAACGACGTCTGCACTCCCGTGTCTGCCCGTTTGGGTAGACGTAGTTAGATTCGTGCGCTCCCCACCAGACGACAGCAGACGACAGCGGCGCGGCGACCGACGGCAGCGGCGGCGATTCAGAGTATTCGTAAAAAGGAATTTAGACTTCGAAAGTGAACTATTTCGTAACTTGATTCACCCAAAATTGTAAATTACACGTTCCTAGTTCAGTAGTTAAGATTTCGTATACATAAAGTTTGGCTTTGTAGATCCCGTTCCGAATCCGTTCCGGGTTTTATCTTCAATTGAACTCCTATTTCACTACCTACCACACTGATAAAATTTTCAAAATGCTAGAACAAACGATTTTTGTTCCTTATGACGTGATATTTAACGAAATTGCATACTAACTTTTAACCCTTATTTCACCCCCTAGCTGGTCGAAATTTCAAAAATGCTAAAACAAATGTTTCATAATTTCTTATCAAGTGCTTAAATATAAAGTTTTATGGTTTTATCTTTAAAAATCAAGATATCCCAATACTAACTTTTAACCCCTATTTCAACCCCTTTATCCCTGTTTTTTGAAAAAAAAGTAGCCTATGTTATGTCTCAGGGTCTAAAGATTGTCTGTACCAAATTTCATTAAAATCGGTTGCGAGGTTTAAGCGGGAAAGCGTAACAGACAGACAGACAGACAGACAGACAGACAGAGTTACTTTCGCATTTATAATATTAGTTGGGATTATGTTTGCTTATTTGCCATGAAAGAGTAGATTACTTACTAGAATATAATTTATTTGATTTGTGTAGTCTTTCAAATAATATTCTTAATTATTTCGAGTTAAGATAATAGATATTTTTAGCTAGTATCTACAGTTAAAAATATTTTTAGTAATCATATATGAATGTGAGTTCCTTGTACTAATATGAGCTTGTAGCTTAAAATAAAAATGGTCCTCGGTGGAAAAGGTACCTCAAAGTATTTCCTGAGACGAACTTGTAAACCACAAAGGTCGCTTTCTACCAACCACTTCCAAAATTACGTACAAGTACAAATTAAGCTTTGAATTTAATAATAAAACGGTATAAAATTAAAACATAGCTCCTAAAACACTCAACCAAAATGGAAATTAAATTCTACGTCTCAGTTGGATTTGTATGAAAACGGTAAAACAGAAACGTCATAAGTCTAGTATAAGCGTAGTAAAAGCGTCATAATTCTGTCGTGTGTGTCATTTAAGCGTCATATTAATTCTGTGGCTTAGTGGTTAATGTGCGGCAAGTCGGGTGTCCTTTAAGGTCCATTACCATAATCTGTCAGAGGGAGATGTAGTGCGCACATACATATTTTATAGAGGGTCATGTGGTGCAAGTTTCTGGGTTTAATTGAACATGTAATTGGATTAAGCTTGGCACATGTTTAATGGGAATATGATATCTTGGTGAAATGCTATTTTGTTTGGTGCATTAGGAAATTATGTATTGCCTTTTTACGACGAAGATTTAAAAACATGGTTTTTCATTAAATTTGGATACTTAATCAGAAATGTTATTTTCAAGGTCAAGGACATTTATCATTTATTCACTCTGTATAAAGGCAGTTTTAAATTCCTTCACGAAAATTTTCAATCAATCCTAAATAAAATAACATTCATATACAGTATTTGAATTTGACTGGAAATAAATACATACGTTTCCCAATCCCAACATAATAAAATTGTAAGTTACTAAATAAAAGAAAAAAAAATATTAAAATTAAAATACACACCAATTAGGCACAGTATAACAAAAAATTAAATCAAACAGTGTAATGACACGTAACATAAAGATCGCCACAAAACTTATTCCGAACCTAATTCAAACGCCAGATCTTATAACATAAATCCCGGTATTATGATTCTAAACACAGTATCCATGATCCGTGATTCCTGGTCCGAGTATCATTTGAATTCCAGCCAAGTTCACAAACGTAGCTCTGCACATTAAATTCTGCAAAGTTTTTGATGAAATTTAATTTAATTTCAGCAAGTTTAATGGCCTCGGTTTCAGTGTCGCGTTGCATAAAATTATGACTCTTACTAACCAGTTTTAGTGTTCCACAAAGCTAATTTGGACTTTTTGTTTGTTGGACTTTCGTTGTTTTAGAAGTTATTTACATATATTTATGTTCTTTTTACTTTTTATACTTTATAGAATATTCCACGTCTTTTTTAATCTCTAGAAGACTATGAAAACTTTACATATCCTGTCTGCATTGTTCATTCATGCACATTCCTATCTGTGTGAGAGGAGACCGTTTAACAATATTTTGATATTAATAGGCTGATGATGATGATAAATAAAGATTCCGTATTACTGCTCATTAATTTTGGCAATCACATTCGATAGCCTATTTATTAAGTACGTTGAAATTCACAACCAATCATCGTGTTTGCACAAGTAACGCTTAGAAACATTCAAATCCTAAAAAAAAAACGTTGCCCTATTTTGGATTTTCTCCTGTGTCGTAGGTGCGTTTACAAACATACAATTTCACATACCTATACATCACACCCAGACCCGGAATAACAATTTGTGGATTACACAACGAGCTGTTCCGTGCGGGAATCGAAACCGCGGCACGGCAGCCAGCTGTCGCCAACCATACAGTCAAGAAAAAAAAACAACTGCCAGTCATGACGTTTTTGAGTTAAATCTATTTTTGAAAATTAATAATCAAAGTACTTTAATAAATCCAGTTAATAAAAACTGGCTGTAATATAAAAAAAGGTACAAAATATTTATATTCGAGATTAAGTTTTCGTTGGTGTCCAATTTGTGGACTTAGAAAGTAAAACATCTAAATCTCAAGATTATTTCTCCACTGATAAAGTAACAGGAAAAAAGAAAATTACAAAAAAAGTCTTTAATATAAAAAAAAAAAAATTCCTTAAGATTACTGAATTATCTTTATGATCAAAGTTTCTTTCTGTTTTTCAAACTTTTTATATAAATATTCAGATGATAATATATAAAATATTTTTATGATCATTCAAATATTTAAGTATTAAATACACATATTATGGTGGGTTTAAAAATTTTAACTTATCTCTTAAATGTAAAAACTTGAAAATGAACGTTACTAGCTTAGTTCGAAGGTTCCTGTTTATTACGAATTGAGTTTATTAAATATATATTTGTATAGCAGGGTGTGTTTTTTGTTTGAGCTTTAACTATTGCATTCATATTAGTAGGATTACTTGATATGATATTTATTTATTAGATTAGATTCAAAATTTTTAATTAATTTTAAATCAAAAAATTTTAAATCTGGTTTTAATATTTTTATATTAAAACCAGATTTAAAATTAGTAGTAGTAAAGTAGTAGTAATTAACCAGATTTTAAATCTGGTTTTAATATTTTCTAATATTAAAACCAGATTTAAAATTATTCGTAAAGTTATTTCGTGAAAATTAGAAAATATTAAAACCATTTTTAATATTTTTTTCAAAGCATTCGTACTTTAGCTAGGAGCGATTGTTACACTATTGTAATCTGTTTTATGTCATACTTTTAGCGTAATAGCAGTGTCAACAATTGTCGGTGAAACAATAAATAAATAAAAAGGAATATAAAGGGTTTCTTCAAACCTAATGTATACAGGTTGCAATCGTCAGGATTGTGTTTTCACAAGGTAAAAGTAGGTTAAGTGCTAATATTATTAAGTCACTACGTACATGGTTGGCAAGGCAATCAATTCACTGAACAAAACATTTTATCCTTCACCTACTTGTTCAACTTCCTTGAGAAAACAATATCATTATACCAATACCTTACATTGTTTATATACTCACTTATAATATTTGCGTAAGCATCATACATACTCGGCATATTACAAAAGTTCACAACAATAGTGTTGTGTTTTGCCATGTGAGCCAGGTCATAAGGAGGCCCAATTATTCCCCTATCCTCAATACCTAAATCTCAGGAACCCTAATCCATAAGAGGCCGGCAATGTACTCATAGGTAACTCGTCTAGTTTAGCGGGTGTCCATAGGTGGCGCTGGTTGCTTGTACAACCAGATAACTGTCAGTTCATTTGCTAATGTATCACATAAATAAAAAAACAGGGACTATTTTACTTTTTTACCTTACGTTTGGTGCGGTGGCTGGGCAACTGGCTGCCGTGCAACGTGTCGCGCGTTCTATTCCCGTACGGAACAACTCTTTGTGTGATCCATAATTTGTTGTTCCATGTCTGGTTGTGATGTGTATGTATATGAAAATGTATGTTTGTAACCGTACCCACGATACAGGAGAAAATCTTAGTGTGGAGCAACGTTTTATTTCGGACCTCATTTTCATTTAATTCCTCTAGTAGATACAACAAGATAACGCCTAACGTTATTAAATAAAATTCCTTTTACACGAATTGGGAGCAATGTAAAAAATATTAAGCATTGTGTGATATATTCACTACCACTCACAAAAATCTATATATCTATGTATCTATCAATCACGCTTTCTACATATAATGAAATAGAAATATGACTGAACGTAAAGGAACAGCTTATAAAAAGAGAGACTACGCATTGGTAAGATTAATAGAACCGATTACCAGCGATTAAGAGAGACACTAATCTGGCCATTCTTCCTTGTCAGGGGGACCAGCGGCATCGACATCGACCTTCGAAGAGTGGACATCGATCAATGTCCGATAAAACCTGGCTCAACACAGCTCAACATCTTTGCTGGAACCGATAAATGCAAGAAAAAAACTACCGAGGTAAGTGCATAAATATTAAAAAAAAAAGATTAATAATAACCTTCTTTTTAGTGCAGGTTTAAGCGTAAATGGTAACGTTAAACTTTGATTATAAATCTCTTTTATTCATATTATCCATTCATGTCCTTGACGTTTGATATCATCTATATTTATCTTTTTACCACTTGGTATTTACAAAACTGGTATTGGCATTGGTAGCTACAAAACTTAAGGGCCGCTAATATAAAGCAGTCGCCATAGCCCAAGTTCACCTGTGGCACTGTAGCCAAAGCGTCATATGCGTTGCAGACAATAGAAAACACTGTTGCAATTAAATACATTGGTAATCAAGAAATGTCAATGAATAAACAAAATACAGTCAATGATTTTATTACTTTTGACTTGACTGCACGGTTGGCGCGGTGGCTGGGCAACTGACTGCCACGCAAAGTGTCGCGGGTTCGATTCCCGCATGGAACAACTCTTTGTGTGATCCACAGATTGTTGTTCCGGGTCTGGGTGTGATGTGCATGTGAATTTGTATGTTTGTGGGGTGTGGGGCAATGTTTTTCTTAAAAAAAAAAGATTTTATCATGGTTTTACAGTCAAACTAAACTTTCACATGTTATACGACATAAATATGGAAAAAAATATCAAAACTATCCAACGTTAACAACGTCAGTTTGGCGTTCTCATGTTAGCTCTCCCAATGACTATACCAAAGGGACAGTACACTTGCAAACACAAATCTCTCACACACCAGTAGTCAACCTAGGAATATGCATGTAGGCCATATAAATATTTATTCCGTGCGGAAGCAAATGCGACACGCAACAACCTATCACTCAGTCACTGCGCACACTGCGTCAACTTTTTTCAGTATCCTGCAACTTTTTATTTTGTAGTTTACTTGTATGTAGTGTATTTTGCACTCCATATGTCCTGGTGGCCCAGGTGTTAAGGCGCCCGCTTTTCGTGCATAAGAGTCTGTGTTCCAAACGTGGAAACTATCAATGTGAGTTTTTCCGAGCTATATGTACTTTTAACTAAGATTATTTAGACACATACGGTAAAGGTAAACAACGAGAGGAAACCTGGACTTATAATTTTTAATAATAAGTTTGAAACGGGTACTCCACCTTGGGCAAGCGTGGTTATTAATGCTCAAACCTTCTCCGTGTGAGATAGGCTTTTGACACTTATTTTAAATTTAGTTCATCCGATATTTGACAATAACCGAATCCTCAGAATTTTGATGAAAAAGTAAATGTGACCTTCTTTTCGCTACCTGGTCGAACTGGACTTTGTACACATTATGTAAACAACCTAACAATTTTATTGAACTTAAAGTTTTTGATTCGAAATGCAAGCTAACGTTAGTATGATGATAAAGTAAACTATTAAATATCGGGATCACTTTGCACGAATGCAATACTGTTAATAAATTTCTCCACAAATTAATGGATCCTATTTTATATATAAATCTTCCACTTCAATGACCAGCTATTAAAAAACCACATCAAAATCAGTTGCGGTGCTTTAAAGATTTAAGCGTACATAGGGACATAGCATATATAGGGACAGAGCGTCGAAGTTTTATACGATGAAGTGATTATATTTTAATTGTAAACACGCTCTTTCAAGTTTTGGTATATACTAACCATCGCAGTTTGGCTTTATATAGAATATTTAATTCAATAAAGTAAAATCGTAAACTTAATTTAATTTTCAACAGAAATATCTTCGCAGGATCTAAAACTTTTTTTATTTCTTCAAAAACTTTTTTATTTTATTTTTGTAGCTTTATTTTTTTAAGACAATAGAATTTGTCTGGAAGCCCAATGAAACCTTTTACGATCCTTTTGATAGCAGATCCTCAAAGGCGATAAGAATTAAAAATGTACCACTTTTAGCATCACGTTACTAATTTATTTAAATAGACGAATTCATTTCTTAAAAAAGAGCTATAACGGTAATTCAGTAGACGTCCAATCTATTTTAAGCCAGAATTAAAAACGGGTCTACTTTTAAACGTGCAATTTTACAACAGTTTTTTTTCTGTTAATTTTCATTTTGTAAATTGAATGGAAGATATATTTATTTGTTATTATTTAAATGACACTTATGGAAACGCCACTTATGTGTGTCAAATTAAATATTTTCATCTTCATTATCTATTTTTTTTTATGTAATAGGTCGGCAAACGAGCAGACGGATTACCTGATGGTAAGCAATCAGCGCCGCCCATGGACACCCGCAACAGAGGAGTTACGAGTGCGTTGCCGACCGTTTAGGGATTAGGGATTTGGAGATTTAGGGATTGAAGAGGGATTGGGGGAGGGGAAGGATTGGGCCTCCGGTAACCTCACTCACACGGCGAAACACAACGCCGTGGTTGTTTCACGCCGGTTTTCTGTGAGGCCGAGGTATCACTCCGGTCGAGCCGACCCATTCGTGCCGAAGCATGGCTCTCCCACACTTAAGCATGGCTCTCCCACACTCTATTATCTGAATATTACAAAGCTGATAAGTTTGTTTGTTGGTTTGAACGCGCTAATCTCCAGAACTAATTCAATAATTATTTTTGTGTTTGTTAGAACATTTATCGAGGACGACTATAGGTTATAAAATATCACTATACGATTTGTTGGAGCCGAAAATTACCATAACACTCATGTCACTTACGCATGTCTCATCATTACTAAAAATAACCACATTAAAACATTTAATTTGTAAAGTATTAGTTATACAGGAGAAAGTAAAATAAAAACACTACTTTATTAATTAAATCCCATTGCAAAAGATACCAATATAAAATAACCTACATCTATTCCTTCATATAAACGCCTATGCATATAAATTCTTGAGACCTCGTTTATCACATTAACCCTGGTCAACACAAATGGTTCTTTCCTTACGTCCGCACCTACATCAAGACAATTTGGGGAAAATCTTTCAATTTGAGGGTCACCGACTCAAGAGGAAACTTCCCTGTGGTTCGTGTACAGCCCAAAAGTTTAAATCATTTCGGGTCTTGGGGAAACTCTTGTATAGAAAACGATAGTAATATGCTAAACAAGAGGGTTGATTGAGTAGTTTCGAACTTTGTAGTTTTAGCGTAACAATACTTGTGTTGCTAAGTGGATTTTACTGGTGCGCTAAGTGCAATATTTCACTAAGAAAATTTAATTTTGACGACTGTCTGATTATTAACATAAACAATGTTTAAAAATTAATTGCAAGAGCAAGAAAGATGAATAAAAAGGAGTCGTCATTCGCGTTGTTTATGCTCAATTAACTTAAATTTGTCTTATTATATTTCTTCGTCATCATACTTTTTCTGTTATTATATTATTTTATAGACTTTGTTTAAAATTAATTTGATCATTTACCTGTTAAAAATATCTGAAGAATTAATAATGCAATCTCAGAAGACTACCAAAATAATTGATATAAGAGTAGGATAGCCAATCTTCGACACGAGTGGGTCCGCTCGAACAGAGTGATACCCACGGCCACAGACAGAACCGGCGTGAAACAACCACAGCGTTGTGTGACTTGCGACTGAGGTTATATAAGGCGCAACCTGTCTCCTACCCCTATCCCTCCCTAACCGTTTAATCCCCGAAACCCTAATACCCAGAAGGCGTGTAACACACTCGGAACTTCTTTGGTGTTCATGGAAGGCGACGATTGCTTACCATCAGGTAATCCATCTCTTCTGACCTTGTTTGCCAACCTATCAAAAAAATACACTCATATATTTTTTATTTTATCTTTATTTAATACATTAGTAAGTCGTATGACTGAATAAATGACAGTTTTAATCGAAATAATAGATTGTGAAGACAAACTGCTCTTCTAAATTTAACAAGCTTGATAATTGGCTGCCCTTTGTTATACCCAAGGGTGGGCCATTCTTTGTTGGAAAAATTCTTTAAGTAGATAAGCTAAGAAGTCAAATAAAATAGGTACCTACATCATTTTGTGAATCAAAATCCTCTCAAGATTTACATCTTGAAGTAGATTTTATATTTAAAATAAAATGATCAAAATCAAGAACTAATAGCGTTGTGTTTCGCCGAGAGACCGGAGGCCCGATCCTTCACCCCTCCCCCCCAATCTCCCAATCCCTAAATCCCTGAAACCCTAATCCCCAAAAGGTCGGACACGCACTTGTGACTCCTTTGTTGTTGCGGTCCATGAATGGCACTGTTTGCTTACCATCAGATAATCTAGATGACTGTCCTTTAATATTCGCAATTTGCAACTATTTGACGCTTACTTTAAGAGTGAACTTTTTTTATTATGAGGTACCTTTTTGTGGCAAAAAAACTACCTGGGTGTGTGGAATTTTTACCTCGTGTAGATTGCATTTATGCTGTGGTGGTTTCCTCAGCACTAGAACAGGACACCTATAATACATAAAAAAACACCAGACCCTCTTGTAAACCTGCTCAGATCTATAATGCACCCATTAACCATATATAACGGAAAATCTCAGAAATTACATTTCATCAATATCGTAAGTGCCTCAATCGTATTTGCTTTCGCTCGCGGCTTCGCCCGCGTGGTATGTTGATAACAAGCAGTCTATGTGTTAATCTAGTGTATCTACTTATCTACCTACATACCAAAATTCAATCCAATGAGTCTAGCCGTTTTTGCGGATAAGAATAAAAAACATACATCCATATATTCTTACAAACTTTCACATTTATATTATTAATGGAATGAATTTCACACTTATTTTGCCGGTCCATTCGTGTCCTGGGAATGAGGTTACCGGAAGAGGAATGTCCCTTATCTCCAAAAGACCAGTAACGCACTTGCAACTTACCTGCTATTGCAAGTGTTCATGGACGGCACCAATTGCTTACCATCAGCAAATTCGTCAGCTTATTTGAAGCCGATAGGCCTTGCCTTTTTTATTACCATTGCTCCACACTAGAATTTTCTCCTGTGTCGTGGGTGCGTTTACAAACATACACATCACGCCCACTGTTGCCTTATCAGGAGTC